CTCCTTAAGGCGGATGAACTATTTACTTAGTCAACGGCATGGGAATGTGGAAGGCAATGGAAAACCACCACATTATTTTCTTCCTAGTTATAGTATTATGACATACAATCCAGGAATGGCCCTCAGTCCCCGGCAGACCTTCAATGGTCAGAGGGTGCTAAGAATCTCCGGACAAAACAAAAAATTAGCTACATGGAATGTTAGAAGTATGTTTGAAAGTGGAAAATTAGATAATACAGTGAAGGAAATGGAAAGATTAAAGATTGATATATTGGGTATAAGTGAAGTTAGATGGCCTGGTACGGGAGTTTGCAAAACACAGAATGGAATTTTTTATTATTCAGGAAATAATTCGATAAATCATAACCACGGAGTAGGTGTTATATGCAACGAAAATACAAGCAAGGCAGTTTTATTCTTCTTACCATATTCTGATCGAATAATTTTAGTAAAAATAAAAACAAATCTAGGAATCTTAAATATAGTTCAAGTATATGCACCAACTGCAGAAAAAGATGACAGTATTATAGAGGACTTTTATCAACATATAAGTGATGTTTTAAAATATACAAAGAAAAATGAAATTTTAGTTATTATGGGAGATTTTAATGCAAAAATTGGGAAAGGAAGAGTTGATGATTTAGTGGGAAACTTTGGATTGGGAGCCCGCAATGACAAGGGAGATAGATTATTACAATTCTGTCAGGAAGAGCAATTAGTCATTAGTAATACTTGTTTTAAACTGCCAAATAGAAGATTATATACATGGAGATCACCTCAGGATAAACAGAATAATGTTGTGAGAAACCAGATAGACTATATTTTAATCCGAAAAAGGTATAGGAATAGTATTATATCAGTTAAAACATATCCAGGGGCAGATGTTTGTTCAGACCATAATCCAGTAGTGGCTTGTATGAGAGTTAAGTTTAAGAAAAATTGTATTAAAAGAAGTAGAAATATAGATATAGGGAGGCTAAGAGATCCCAAAACAAAGGAAAATACTAAAAATGATATAAATGAAGGTTTTTCAAAAATAAGGGAGAAATTTTGCAAAAGAAAAGAAGAAGAAAAAACAAATAGTGAAGAATTATGGAATAATCTGAGAAAAACTATAAACAATGTAACGGAACAAAATGTAAAACCTGAGAAAACGTTAAAAAAAAGAATGAATGTCAAAAGAAATATTAGAATTAATGGAAGAACGAAGACATTGGAAAAATAAAAATATTTTTAACCCCTTCTTGGCACACTTCACAAGACTTTCATTTCATACTGATTATAATGTACTTCTGTTTCTTATCACTATCCAAGTTTCGTAAATAAGAATGGATATGAAGTAACTAATTCTTTTGTATTTAGCTCTGACGACTTGATTCCCAAACTTTCTGAAGACATATTGTAAAGCATGGCTTTGATCTCATCTCGTTATTGGTCACGTTCTACTGCTCAACTACCCACAATATAATTGAAATCATCTATTATTTTAATTTTACGTTTTCTATTTTGTGTAAGAACGCCGATTGGGGGGAGTTTTTTATTCCCTAACGTCGGGATGGTCTAAGGTCTACGCGTATGTGGGTGGCGGTTTTGAAAGGCAGCAAAAGACAAGTGTTTTACAGAGGCAAACCGTTTATTCTTGATCGAAAATGCTTACATAAATTTTTTCGTTGAAAAGGTCCTTAGATTCCGAACTTTAAGATGTCTTCGGATCCGATCCGGTCCTGTGTTGTAGGTGTTTCAGATGCGATCCTGGTCCTGTGTCGAAGGGATTTTCGGCGGCGATCTGGTCTAGCATCGTAGGGGCCTCTGGACAGTGTTGAGCAAAAAGTTCGAAGACTCGAAAGTAGATGCACAAAAGATGAAAGGATGCACGAAAAAAAAAACGGAGATACACGAACACAATAGAAGTCTAGTGGAAGTCTTAGTAGAAGCCTCGTTGTTCTTGGAATTGGTGTTTTTATAAGTTTGTCGGGATTGGCTTTTTGCTAATTGGACAAACTTTACATCATCGTTTTCTAATTGGTCTTCCACCTGTCTCCATGTGTAAATGGAGCTTCGTAAAGTTCGCGGGAAAGGTCGGCTGGAGATGGTTTATCCGACACCATCTTTTAGACTCGGATCGCGTTTAATTGTTGACTGTGACACCTACGCTCATTTTAATATTTTTTTTCTAGTTTCGTTTAGTTTTCTAAACTGCGTCTTAACTTTAATATTTTAAATTTTGTTCTTTTATATCTAAAATTTTGTTTTTCCTTCTACTCTTTACGAGCGTCGACGTCAAAGTCCTGTGTCGCCGATTCGACACTTATATAGTTTGTTTTCTTGACGATTTAACTTAACAAACTTTTCCATATCTTTCTTTGGGGAGGACTATTTCCGGGGCTTCACATTTGTTCCGCTGTTTCTGAAGGCTAACGACCATTTCTTCTCTGTTTTCTGACCTTGACTTTTTAATTCGTAATTTTTTATATTAATTATTTGTTTAGTTTCTTGTACAGGTCGAGAAGTGAAAATTTTTCCAAAATATAAATTATGTCGCCCGAAAAAAACCTCTCCTATTTACGATACCGAGCGTAGTTATTTTAATAAACAAGGCAAATTTGAAAATTTCCTGACACAATCCGTTATTAATTTCAGATCATTTATAAAGTTTTTATGTTTTCTTCTTCAGCTCTTTTTATATAATATATTAGTATTGTCAGAATTGGTTTAATGTTGAGGTATTGTTTTGTTCTTCAATAAGAAATTGAAGATAATGGACAACAATAAAATTCTAATTTCACCGGAATTCATTAACAACGGATGATCTTCTGCCCTTCTGTTGAAGTGCCGTTTCAATTTGTTTTAGGGTGACTTTTTATATGTACAGTACTGTATTGTTTGTTTAATAATCACATTTTCATTATTTATTTCTTAGTGACCACGTTGCCTTTTTCGTATTCACCTTTTTTGTAATTGTTCATTATCACTTTTCTTGTTCTTAACTGAACTGCGTAAGCCATTTTCTTGCTTCCATCTTTCTTATTTATCTTCTTTTCTATCTTGTTTTTCTGTTTGTAATAATTCTTTTTTCTTTCTAATTTAAATTTTATAAATGTTTTCAACGTCATAATTTTTCCTGCAACTATACTTCCACCATTTTGATTTCGTGTGTTTCCTTTTGTTTTTTCACACATCTCCTCAGCAATCTTCATCATTATGTTCTAAGATTATTCTACTGCATTTTTAAGGTAAATAAATTATATTGTTTAATTAAAAATCATCAGAAATTATTTTCTCTTCAATTTTTCTCTGTTAAGAAGTTGTCATTTCACCATCGATTAAGACAAAAAGTATAATTTAAAATGACTTATATTTCAGAATTACAGATGAAGTCGTCGATACTAAAAGATTGCGTTGGGAATTTGCATTATATCTCAATGCATGCAACAAGCACACAATTCTTTCATCTTAGGAAAAGTTTCGGGCAAAGTAGTAAGAGTTGGAGATGAATATGTTCATGCTTATTTAGGCATACCATACGCAACTCCTCCAGTTAAACATTTAAGATTTCGGGAACCTCAACACGTGAGAGCTTGGAATTCTGTTTATAATGCAACACGGAAACCTCCCGCTTGCATACAAGAATTATTCTTTGAAAGTGAATGGTTGAAACTTGATCGAAAAGACATGAGCGAAGATTGTCTTTACATCAATGTGTGGGTTCCTGCTTTTAAACGGGATCGGGAACCATTTGCTACCATGGTTTGGATTTACGGAGGTGGATTCATTGCCGGCAGCACAAATCAGGTTATTTATGATGGCTCGGTTATGGCATCCATAGGAAACGTTATTGTTGTCTCATTTAATTACCGTGTTGGCGCATTTGGTTATGCAAATTTTGAACAGGAAGGCGCACGTGGAAATATGGGAATGCTGGATCAAGTGATGGCTTTAAAATGGGTTCATCGGAATATACAGAATTTCGGTGGTGATAAGGACTTGATAACGGTATTTGGTGAAAGTGCAGGTTCCATCTCAGTTGCGGATCATTTGATCTCACCAATGACGAAGGGGTTATTTAAACGAGCAATCCTACAAAGTGGAAGTAATTATTTGAAAATTTATACGGCAGATCCTAAAGTAAACTTAGAGTTGATTTCCGAGTTCGCTGAGGAATTAGGTTGTACAGGAATAAACATTTTAAACTGCATGAGAAATGTAAACCCTTTTGATATAGCAGCCATAGAAAAGAGATATATACTAAACAAAAAGAGAATTGCATGTTTCGTTCCACAAAAAGGACTTCCATATTTTCCAGAGGATCCATTTTATAATATTGATATCGGCAAATTTCACGACGTGGATGTTTTGATAGGAGAAACTAAGGATGAAGGTTCAACTCAAGCAGCCTGGTATAAGCCAGAAATGTGGAATGAAGACAATCCCATCCTGTCAAAATCAGAAGTAAAACACTTTATAGGAAAATTCTATGATTTAAATGGTGAACGTCTCGATCGCCTCTTTGAGGAATATTTAGGAAACGTATCCGAAACAGATTCCTCAACCATCCTTCAGCAGTTTATCAAAACACTAGGAGATGGAATATTTTCTTGTCCTATATTGCATCTGGCTGAAAAACTGTCGAGATACAACAGGAAAGTCTTCCATTACACCTTCAATCACACTCGATTCCAATCGGAAGAGAAGGAATGGGCAGGAGTAATTCATTTTGAAGATGTGTACTTCGTGTTTGGAATGCCTTTTGCAAGAAGAGAAAACTTTACGTCAGAAGAAGTGCGATTTAGCAGAAGAATAATTGAATTGTTGACTTCTTTTGCCAAAACACGTAAGTCTTTTGCGGTAAGTCACGTCTCTTATTGATAATTCTGCTATTGTGTTACATTTAAACTTTAATGAAATGTCAAGTATATAATTAATTTTTATTAACAAATCGGATTTGTGCACCATTGATACTACTTTTAATTAAGTTTTACGATTCAGTTGAATGTCTCACTTGTTGTACCAAATTAATACGTTTCGTATTAGTGTTGATGAATCGAAACAAATCCATTTTTTTCCCGAAAACTTCGTAATGTGGGATATCCAGTCTTTGTACCACGTGCCTGAATTTTCGATTGTTCTGCTATAAATTTTTCATCAAGAAATTTATTTCAGAATACATTATAACACTTTAAGAATATGAAACAACAACTAAAAATATAAATGCAAAGGATGAAGTTTAGTGTTTAATATTTATTCTTGTGATCTTTCAGTTTATTTCATTGATGCTCTGAAAAAATCTATGAAATCTGACTTTTTGTTCTTCATTCTTCATTGAAAGAAAAGAAAGTAAATTACTCTATCAATGTTTACTGCTTTTTAAAATGTAAGTGCTTATCCTTATTTTGTTTTTGTTTCAGGAGACCTTCGTACAACGGAATGGGATTCGAATGGAAGACATTCGATCAGGTAAAAAGAAATAGCCTTTCCTTAACTCTGGGAAACTTTCATCTGAGAGATGCAACAATAGAAAAGTGCAGATTTTGAAAGAAATTCCACAATTACAATTAATGGAGAAAAATAATTTTAAATAATTGTTTATTTTTAACTTTTTTATAAAATTGAATAAAATTAAATGTGATTTTGTATTTTATGAATTACGGTAAAAATATACGAGAAACTATGTATCACGTGTTTATTACAGAGTAATCCATATAAATGAAATTGTGAAAAATTGCTCTTAGATTTAGAATTGTCTACAAATTGATTATAAATTTGTTAGAGAAAATTAATATTATTTTAAATAGCTTCACAATACTTTTTTAATTACATTACTACTATAAAAGAGCGAAGAGACGGATTTCTTTCTAACAATGAAACTTCAAGTATTCTATTATATAACTAGCAGATAAGCCCGGCGTTGCTCGGGCAAAAGTAACGATAACTAAGATAAAGATTATTATGTACCGTAAACCTTACCCGTTTTCACAGAATGCAAGAATTGGGTCCCCTTGTTTCCAGACTAATTAGAGAATTTTTAGATGGGTCTAAAAATATGTTTGTTTTCCCGCAAAAACGAAAAAACTGCATCTGCGTCTTGCATGTCACTTTCTCTTAACAATTCCATTGTTGACACTTCCATTATTACTTAAAACTTCCATTGTTACTTAGCTCTTCCATTGTTACTTAACACTTCCATTGTTGATGGAAGTGTTAAGACTTAATCCTGTCCCTCTCCCCCGTGGGGAGGAATTTCGAAAAATCCCTTCTTAGTTTGCGTTCTCCTAACGTACCCTAACTGTCTACCAAATTTCAACTTTCAACTCCTGATCGTTTGAGCTCGTATCCATAATGTAGTTTTGAGCTCGTATCCATATAGAAGTTTTAATCCTGTCTCTCTCCCCCCGGGGGGGAATTTCGAAAAATCCCTTCTTAGTGTGCGTTTTCGTGACGTACCCTATCTGTGTACCAAATTTCAACTTTCAACTCCTAACCGTTTGGGCTCTGCGCTGATTATTATTATTATCAACCCGTCTCGATTATATATTAGATACGGGTGTTATACTTCATTTTAATCTTCAATATGGATAGTAAATTCCTTATTTAAAGAAGTATTACTTTCGGTTCACTATCGATGTCTACATTAAGTTCACGTTTTTTAACGATGAAATTATGTATCGTAAAATCATATACAATAACTTGTTGATTTGAAAGTTAACGCATTGTAAATCATTGTTCTTTAACTAATTTTATTAAATACGATTATGCACAACACAATATACTATTTGCAGGCTACTTATTATAAATATGCATGTGAACGTAAAAATATAATCCTAAGAATCGAAAGAGGGTGATTATTAGCGCATCAACAAAGGAAAGATTCGATTGTTTACATAATTTACAATGGAGCATCTACAATCGTTTCACAGAAAAGTAAAAGATCAATTAAGCAGCCAAGAAGATGCTCTGATCGTCATGCTGCATCACTATTTGCTTTCCATCGCACTGCATTGCGTGGGCGTGGGAGAGGAATGGGTCGAACCCATAAAGAAGATCCAAAAAGACAAAATGCCCCAAAACTGGAACTCCACGAAAGAATCGTATAAACTGAGATACGTGGACGACAATGCTAATAGATTCTTGCTGAAAGTGTCCATATACGATAGGAAAAGTGAGGAGAAACTTCTTTTTGTCTACTTACATTATTTGCAAAAGAAGAGGGCATGCGGCACCATCGTTAGTATTAAACAATGTGCCATAGACACAGTGAATTCATGGAAACAATCGGAAACAGCGTATAAAATAAACGTCACGATGTATCAGGACATTCTAAAACGTATGAAAGAATTCCTCTTAAATCCGGAAAAAATGGAAAAGAGTGAATTTTCGTCTAAAACAAAGACTAAAAGACAAGAGAGTAAGAGTAAAACACAAGAGAAACAATTACCAGAGTCTTCGTCTAAATCTGCGAAGGAAAACGTCACAGGTACTTCATCAAATGCTGTGAAAAAGGAAACTCCGGAATCTCCATCAAAGCCTAGGGAACAGGATGTCTCCAAGAAGAAAAAAAAGGTTACTTCAAAATGAAGATTAACAGTTTCGACAGTAAAAACATAATTTTTTGAATGTTGCAATCAACGAAAGATTATTCTAAATTTTTTTAATGAAATATTTTAATAAATTATATTAAATAATTTCTGGTCGTCTGGAGACTTATTTTACATTCTACTGATTTACAGAAAAAAAACCAAATTCTATAAGAAATTTCCTACGTCATTCGCTAATTTCGAACAAGAAAGTTTAGAGTGTTTTTCTCTTCAGAAACAAAAGCAATATCCTTTGATAAAACCGGAAAATTCCCTGATGAATTGCAGATTGAAGGGGATGAAAAGCTTCTGTATGTAAATTTATTATGAAAAATGTTTATATGTTTCAATGAATGTTAGATAATACAATAGTCAAAGATTCGGGAAAATATATTTACCGTACTTAGCTTACATTGCAGTGTGTACCGATTATATACTCGCATTTAATGTATAGTCGAAGCATAAACATATTAGGGGTTTTTGCCGTATTGCCAAAACTGACTATTTGGGGAGATAATTCCATTTTTGAACAATCTCCCCAAATATACCGAGAATACATGTAACTTTCAAGCACCAAATCAAAACAAAAAATTCTTCACACTGTCCGCTTAACACAGTGTCTGGAGAATAGGACAAGTACAGTAGTACGTTTTGTCTGCAGAAAGCAGTGTCATCGACCTCCGAACAAATCTTAGTAATTTATTAAACGACAGACAGATATACTAAAATTACATCCAGAACACTGTGCTAAAGATATCAAGATAACTCAGATCACTATTTGTAATTATGTTGTAAGGCCGTTTTAACCATTAGGCACATCAAGCACGTAGGTAGGGCCCAGAAAGCGTAAATATAAGTTCTAATACTTTACGAAAATAGGGCTATGTGATGTCTAGTACCAATGTACCATAACGAGATACCTAAAGCCTGCGACCTGACAATGGATTAATAAAGCCCTGATGTGATGGTTCAACTGATGAGCGATTGCTGTAAGTGAACAACACTAAAATTAATCAATTTAAGAAATAAATTTTGAATTTGGTCTCAGTCTTGTGTTTACTGAACTAATTAAACATGAATATTGACTTGATCAATTATCCATAGTTAATATAAACATTTATGTTAATTTTCCGCAATTGAGTGCATTACATATAAATTGAAATGATGGTTTTAATGATTTTTCTGCACAGATGCATCGATTCCAATGTCTTAGAGCTTCGATTGTTTTGTGAAGAACTTGCAGACAAGTTGAAAGTTAATTTTCAAAACAATCAATTGGATTCTTTCAATGATATATGATATTGTATTTCAGATGGAAGCCCGTATATTGAGGCAGTTGGGGCACGTGTTTTCTTTTTCGTCTCGGTTGCCTTTTTCCTAATCCCCAAGAGCGCTCAAGACGTGTAACCTATTCTGAAAACATGAAAGAAAGTAATGAATGATATCTATTCATTGACCCATGCAACTTTGTTCGTATGTTGAGAAAAACCAAGTTAGTCCCGAGTGCAACCAGCTTTACCTTGTTGGAGCACTTACCCGACGTTGAATCGTACAGTTTGAAAATCCTTGAGTAATGTACGATGCCATTCTGATGCCTTTTCCCCTTTTTTCAGATAATTTCAGATAATTTGTTATGTAAAAAGAGGAAGAAAACTGTTGAAAGAATCTTCACGATTATCGAGAAGAGCACCCCAAAGTAGAAGTATTAAAAAATTTCATTGAATTTTTGCGACAATTGAGTTAATTTTCGAGAACACAATCTTTCGTTTGTACATTTAAATACCTTAGATATGTTATTTTCTTTCTCTCATTTTTCAGACATTGTACACTAGTTCTAGTTTGTTGAATGTCAAAAATCAAATGAAGCCATGCGACAGGCAAATAAGCATTCATCTATTTGAATCAGAATCATTTACTGAAGCGCTAGATAAAATTAATTTTACCATATATAATTCTATTATGTAGAACAAAGGGTATAAATCGTTTATGTATATTATTCAAAATTACATTAATTTTCGTAAAGTTAAACCCAATTTTCTGTTGTTAGATGCTATCGTTTTGCTTCTTGGGCCGAAAACTCAAATATGAAAACTTTTTTATGAATTTTTGTTGTACAAGTGACGTTTTAGTGAGAAACTGTGATTGCCTTTTATACCATTTTTTTTGTATATTGGTGATGCAAGAGAATAGAATAAGCGAAATAATTGGAAGGTCAAGCCACGTGTTGTGTATTCTTTGAAGAATAGACTATTCGTTTAGAAGCCTCTGTTGTATTATAATGAATATGTCCTTTCTTTTCTTTATGTTTCGTATGTAAAACGATCCCTACAGATCTTATATACTTTTAATTCTTTATTAATTAAAGATCCTTGAACGGCCGAGTGGATAACACTACTAAACACTGGACAAACTCGTGCCCTGTGTGCAGTAGTTTTTTCCACCAGTGAAGTAAACCAGAAAAAGTCCATGCGTTCAGCACAAAGGGCTGAACGCATGAAGTTTTTCTGGCTTTCTTCACTTAAATAACAAATAGAGGTCATGTGTCCTCTCGACATTACATACTGTTAACATTCAAATAAGGGTCAGTTTGTATGGAAATTATATGAATTTATGTACAATGTTAGAAATTGTGAAGATATAATTCAAAACTCTTATTTTATTGCTTAGATTAAGGAATCACACACACACTTTAGCTATAAGTACCTTATGTAATTTTCAGCGAAACACGTGCAAAAATTTCAAGGAAAATGAATCTATTCCAAAAATTTTAATTCAAAACCAAATATAAGACAACAAACTTTACAAAATGAGATTTTGAAATTGTTTCTTTAATATCTATAACCATTATTACACGAGGAATTCAATCGATTGTTAATTAGACAAACACTTTTAAAACTCATATTTCAAAAGTCATACACTTTAGCTTTACGATTACATTAATGGAAGGAGTCATTAATATTGTCAAGAAAGGAATTTCTTCAAAACTAATGGTCGAGTGAATAATGAACACTGGCCTATTTGCGAGAGGCGAACCCACGACCAACTGGTTGGAAGGTCGCTGCTTGTCAATGGAAGCCCGCGTGCTTGTCCTAACTATTTACGTGTCTGACCTAAATATCTAAATATCTACACCTAAATAGGGGTCAGATACCCATAAATGTCCTTCCAAGAGGATTACAGCTCGCCCGTGTCTACACTGCAGTTATGTGTCACGTACGACACACAAGTGGGCTGGACAATGTTAGGAAGAAGAAGAAATATGAAATTTATGATAAAATAAGAAAAAAAAGGTAAATAACACTAAGTAAACGAGACCAAATTGAAATTGGTAAAGCATTACTTCTGTAAATATGTATACTTTTCAGAGAAGCAGCAACAAACCTTTAAGGATAGAAAATAACCCAAAAAAAGATATTATTTCAGGAATTTTAATTGAAGATTAAATGCAGGCAACAAACATCTATAAAATGAGATTCTAAAATTGTTTCATTAATGTATGCATTATTATTGGAGGAGTGAATCAATCGATCATTAATTTGGTAAACATGTTTAATATGAAGTAGTTTAGATTCATGTTTACATGAATGGAAAACGTCGCTAATGTTGTGTACACGAAGAATTTTAATCTATAGAAAACGACTAAAAGCACTCATCTTTAAGAGATATTAAACGTGTCTCTCTGAGTGTCTCATCAGAATTTATAACGGAAAATCACGAGATTAGCCATCCAATGAGATTTATTATCGTATCACATAGAAACAACAAGCGATTTTATCAAATCACTAGCAGCTTTTATTTTACTTCACGAGTCTCTCTATAGGGATTAAAAGAACCATACTTGTGTTGTGTTCGAGTATCCATATTTATATATATAATTGTATTTATTATCGTTTTGCGATTAAAACAGATTAACATGGAACTTCAAGAGAAACACGAAAACTGCTGTTGTCTGTCGTGCCGAGTACAGAGTAACCTACGAATGTTGAAAATTTTTGGCTTTAGAACTAATCCGGATTCAAAAAGTACATTTTTCTCAAAAATTTATCGTGTGTTCGTACAAAGTATACTTGTAGCGAGTAACGTCAACATTCTACTTTACATCTTTCTGACAGGGGAAACAAGAAATCGATACACTGGAAATATATCTTTTCTATTTAAAGACGATTTCATCTTTCATTGTCTGGTCATACTCTCCTTTACTGTGTCTGTTATTCTCTTATATTACGGCTTTCAAGGTATTCTCGATCGAAGTCTATTACATCGTATTGTCACTAAATACTGCAACCATTTCGAACACAGAAGAATGCGACCGGCTCTCATTCAATATAAAATGTCCAATTGGTTTTGCACTTCTTCGCTAATCTTTGTGGTGTTTACGGTTATTGTTCACTGGGTTGCTTATTCGTTTATTATAAAAATAGAAACCGTTTATACGGTTGTATTTCATTTAGTTTTGACTAATTGTGAGATATTTTACGGAGTGCAAATTATCGTTTATATAATTCTCATATTGTCTGATATTGGAATCACATTGGAGCACGAATTGTCCTTGTTTTCTCGTCAATTGGAAGAACGAATTTCTAATGGCGAAAGAATCAATTTTCGATACGTCGTAGAGCGACACGACGAATTCTGCCACGTCCTTTCTGCCTTCGACGATGTGGTTAACTTTTTTACTGCCGGTTATTATTTGTTTCAACTGACGATGACATCACTCTGCTTGTACAATGGAATATTAGGAAGTGGAAACATAATGATGAAATGCGCTAATGTAGTATACCTACTGTTCAGTATGCTCATTTTCGTCACGCTTACTTTAGCTACGGCGAAATTACCAAAAACAGTAAGTCTTTTATAACCTATAATCTTAACTAATTCATGTAACGCCTTCGTAATGCATAAATAATCTACTAAGATCTATAACTGTATTTTAATTACAGATACAACGAATCCGTCCCGTTCTCGAGCTGCTCTTCTTCTATGAAGTGAAACTCTCCAACA